ACCACCTGGAGTTTATGCTACATACTCAGTTTCAAGAAGATTCCCCAGCCTCAGCTCCATGATGGACCAATATCTTTTATGGACTGGAAGAAGTTTCTGGTCCCAATGTTGTTGTTTCGRACATTCATGTTGGACAGCAACAGCACCAACCCAAGCCCCCACCAGTATTCAACCAAGATCTTTCCCTCAAAGAACACCGCCTAGAGGACTGTATGCTACTTACTCAGTTTCAAGAAGACCCCCCCCCCCCCAGCCTCACGAGCTCCATGCACCAGTATTTGTTTATGGACTGGAAGAAGTTTCTGGTCATCATGTTGTTGTTTCCAACATTCGTGCTGGACAACATCACCACCAAACCAAATCCAAACCTAAAACATTTAGATCTATCCCCAGTCTCTTTACCCATGATGTCCTTGCATCCAAACAGCATCCTGCTTGCATTATTATTGATACACTTGTCTATGACACCTTGTCCAACCATTGACAGTTCTACCTTTACAACATATCCATATCACAACAATTGATTACAAAAGGTGACAACTACACCAAGACCAAGTCAGTTTAATGCACTGTTTTTCTTTTGTTTTTTTTGTTCTTTTTCTTTTTTATGACCATCTACTAGTATTCCACCTGTTTCCKTGTTCACTGTGTGCTGCTGCTACTATGAGGAATTGCCCATGGCTCTCATCCATCSAAGCTGTGAACCAACTCTTTCTATGTTCTATGAGTCCAGTCCCAGGCCTTAATTGGCTTATCAGCATAGTACATAGAAGAATCTGGCCGTGAATCTACTAGTACCAAACTTCTTTGGAGGGAAGTGCCATCCCTCAGAGGAGCAGCTAGGAGCATTCTTCTTTCTAGTAGTCAGCRGAAGTAATGGTTCTGGCCAACAAACTGCCTCTTCTAGTTAATGTGGTTAATCATACTACTAGTTATATTAAGAATTTTCAGAATATTCCTTTAAGTGCTGCTGCTGGTGGTACTAACAAGAAAGAATGTTGATAGTACTAGGTCCAGGAGGACCAGCAGCAGCCACTGGTGATACTACGCAGTAGTATTTTTAATTTCAGTATTACCAGTAAGAATACATACAATAAGAACAGAGCAAAGGAGGTTTGTATTGCATTTTGAAGGATATTTACTAGGCTAAAATATCATTTTTTTGCATTTGTGATGTTGTACTAGTAGTACAAGAAGAACCACCACAACAACAAGAACAACAAGAAGTACTAGTACTAGTACTACTACTAGTACTGCTACTACTACTACCACTACTACTAGTAGTAGTAGGACTACTACTACTATGATACTCTCCTCGTGTTCTTACCTTCGACTTCTTCTTCTTCCACCATTGGCCTCCAAGCAACCAATCTAGGTCTTTTGAATAAATTATTGGGGGCTCAATGACAACAACAGAAAGGCATTCTAGTAAATTGCTTACCAGGCCAGGAAGAACTGCTACTACTAGTCGTACTAGTACTACTACTACTAGTATCATCATGACCAACGTTGATCTTCCATGTGCATCATTAATCCTACCCAAAACTTCCCTGCWGTAAAAAATAGAAAAGTGATTGTGCGCGCGCGCAAATCTTGGACGGCAGGTTGATCCCGGATCGTAAATTTGGTGGGATCACGAAGCTCCAAAAGGTGCGCGACTATTGTCACGGGAACACAGGTACGAAAGTAAAGATTCTACGGCAGGAAAAGATTTTTTCATCCGTTACACCGAGATAGTATGTTATTCTTGGTTCCGTTCAACGCTCAAATACAAAGAASCTCATTTCAATTCGCCGACACAAGCCATTTMATGTAGTATATGGATTTCTGCCCAGGGATCATTTCGCCAATTGCTGCTCTTGCTGTGACAACCAGTTKCACATTATTGTCGTTTGAAAAATTGAAACCGCTTTCAATTGATTGTCACAYCGAATCCAAAGTTAGTCGAAATAGAATGGGTGGTAACGAAGATGAAAATCCGATTTGGTCGGCTATTGCGGAGCCTCTGAGCTCATTGGTAGGACTTCATCAGAATGATGACAAGGAGGCTAGTAGAAAGGCTGCGGCAAAAAATGAAGAAGCCTACAAAAAGCGTTTCCGTAAGCGTCTCCARGGCCTYCAAACGGAGGTAGAAGAGGTYAACGAAGAGGCMACGAGAACTCGACAGCAGCTGTGGGAAGCTCAAGATAAACTGAGAAGTTCGGAAGATCAGATCAGAAAACTAGAGAATCATCTGAACGAAATATTGGAATTGAGGGAAAAGGACCTGGAAAGCCTTAAGTCACTCCGGGCAGCCAATTCTGAATGTGTAGAAATGGAAAGCAGAGCCCGAGAAGCCATGGAAGTCTTCAAGAAGTGTTACAAAAGAGCTCAGCTCAAATTAAAGGAGAACGAAGAGGAGATTGCGATGTTGCRGGAACAAAGGAATTGTGTGGAACGTGCACACGATATGGATACTGACGTCACGGATGCAATGATCGATGGGTCGGCGCTTGAATACATCAAGACTGTTTCTAACGAAAAAGAAGAAAGATTGAAGCAAATKTTGTTTCATACAGAGAACGAAGTAGATYTATGGAAAAGCAAATACAAAGTAGCCTCGCGACGCTGCGYCAATTTTCAAGAACAAATTACAGCCATCGAGCATCCATCCGAAGCATCGGTATACATGGAAAAACAGAGGATAAAGATCGAGCAACTAGAAGATCAGTTAGAAGAGACGAGACAACTTGCGCARGAAAAAGTAGAAGAAAGGGATGATGCCTTATTCTACCCAGGATATACCGTTGATAGTATTGTTCACCGAGGACTCTGTGACGAAGATCTAAAWGGAAGCGTGACGAAAGACTTGATGAAAACAATCTCGAAGCTAAACTGCGCTGGTCTTCCAACGATGCCCAACGCATGAGTGTTTGGAGAKAAAAGGAATAATCAATCATTGCGTTCAGTTCGTGCATCAGGAAATTAGATGTCACCTCAGCACCATTTTGGCTCAGACCTTCTCGGATCTTCAGTAGTATTTATAAGSAAACAAATTTCATTGTGGCAATTAGTTTTTTAAGATAGCACAGAGATATTTCGATATTCTTGGAGATACAAAACATTATTGTGCGAAGTATAGAGGAAGGCATGAAGATCTACGTGTTATAAATCAGACCTCATCTACAGTAAACTGAAATTTGACATRATGGCCCATACTGACAGAAACGAAAAAATGGTATGGATTGTTTTTCCAACTCCAAATTGAAACTACTGGGATAAATTCGATTCGGCTCTTGATGCGTTCTTTTCCACAAGGAGTCCTACTGGTAGTTGCAGAGCAAATAATCCTGTCAAATTGTCTACCTCATRCCATGCAAATTGCTATTTACGAAGCTTTAAAAAAGTCAAAGGTTTTGTGCTCAAGTGAATAACAGATTGTGAAGTAATAGAAATTTCAGCACTTCAACAAATTTTGTACATTATACTTCTCCTGCTTGTTGTATTCTTTTGAAACTAGTACTAGTACTGCTACTAGTACTACTAGTAGTAGTACTACTATTACTAGTACTAGCACCAGTACTAGCACCAGCAGTAGCATCACTTGTTGGTATTCCTCCTCCTCCTCCTCCTCCTCCTTGTTGTTGTTGTTGTTGTTGTTGTTGTTGTTGTTGTTGTTGTTGATGCTGTTAAAGGAGAGGAACATCAAGAACAGCAACAAGAAAAACAAATCCACAAAAACTTACTTTGATTTTGTTGGTTCTTAGCAGTAGCACTACTACTGTCTACTACTACTACTAGCAGTATAAGAACAAGAAGAAGAACAACAACAACAAGAAAGTACTAGTAGTACTAGCCTAGTACAACAGGACAAGAAGAAGGAGCACTAGTGCCACCAGTAGTACTACTACTAGTAGTATTACTAGTAGTGGTACTACTAGCTAGTAGTAGTACTAGTAGACTAGTAGTACTACTTCTTGTTGTTGTTGTTCTTGCTGTTGTTAGATTCAAGAAAAAGAAGAAGGCTATCGTCATAAAAAGAGTAGTAAGTGGACGAGTCGAACAAGTAGTAGTAATACTACTACTACTGCAAGTAAAAGAAGTTGCTGGAACGGAGCTACCAGCAGTACTAGTAGTAGTACCAGCTCCTAGTGGTTCTAATAGTAGGAATAGTACTACTGGTAGTACTAGGAAGTAAAATAGTACGTTACTCAGAAGACGTTTTACCGAAAATAAAACTTTATCGTCTGTCCATCACACGGTAAAAAGTGAGGTGAAATAGACCACCTTGCGTGTTGAGCAAGGCTTAAAAATTGTCAAAATCGAAGACGGCCGCTATCGCCACTTTTTTCATTCATCCTTTTACCGTTGGGGAGGGCGATGATGCCGATGTTGCGCCGTAACGTTAGTAAGTACGTACCGTTTCGCACCGTACCGTACAACATCATGTGTCACATTGCGTTTAATTCTTCTTCAAATTCCTCGATTTTTGCWATGAACAATACGGTTTTATCAATGAAACTCTGTAGTACCAATCGGATACCATCCAAAGAAAACGCTGGACCAATAGAATAGAGGATCTTCCTTTCAGAGACGTGAAGAGTGGAGAACGGGCAACACTTCAAAGTTTTTGGAAAGTGAACGATGGAGRATCAGCCCATCATTATCAAGCCCCCTTCRTTGAGAAGGCAACAACCTGGCTCCACGGGTCATGGAAGCTCTGTCAAGTCTATTTCGGATAAGAGAACGATGYCAAGAAACGGGCAGAAWTATCTGAGAAACAGCAACATCCGAAATCCGAACACACTCGCAGATGACATCAGCCAAAATCGGAGTCATGATGACTTTCCGSAAAGCCGTAGTATGAATGACGAGGATTTTTACACATCCCTTCGAAAAACGGGACAAAACAATACACGGGGAGCCACAGCATCTTCTAACCTAGAGCAGAACCTCGAAGAGTACACAARTTTGAAAGAAACGGCTCAAGGTGCTCGAGAAACGAAACGCTGTCTGGTTGAGTGGAAAAGAAAAATTCAATCTCTCGAGGAAAATTTGAGAGATCAAGACTATGCGATGCAAGACGTTATTGCTGAAAATAAAACACTCGAAAAAGAAGTRCAAATGCTCATCAGATCACAAGCCRTGAAAAAGGACATTGATAAGCACACAATTCAACGCAACAAGCTGCGGAGGAAGGAAGTGCAACTGGGAAAGGCCCTCTTGGTAGCCAGGAAGGAAAATGATAAACTGCGCGAGGAGTTGGACTCTCGAAATGACAAGAGCGAACCTTACGGTGGTGATAGTAGAAGAATCACCGCACTCAACCTGCGGAGAAACGATATCCAATCAGAACGAGATCTATCGKCGGCCGAAAGGGATAAAGAAGGTTTACTAGAGGAAGTAGTTTCTTGCGACGCTAAGTTTCAGCAAATGGAGGAAAGAAATCAAAAGCTCGAGGAGGAAATAAAAACCCTACATTCTGAGCTCGAAATCAGCCGAAGAATTGTGCACACAAAGAGGAGCCTTCTGCGGAAGGAAATGTYGGAKGAAACTAGGCAGCAAATGCATGATGAAATCACAGAGAGATTGACGATCGAGTTGACGGAGAAAATTTTCAAAGATCTAGAAGATAGAATGGGAAAAGAGARAGAGAGAGAGTTGACGARATTGAGAAAAATAGATGACCAAAAGGTGCGGGATGTGCAACATCAAGTCCCTGTTCTTGAAAAAGAAATTGATCGTTTGCGCGAAAAGATACACCATGCAGGACAATATCACGAAAGAACAATTGCGGAGCTCGAGGCCCATTACGAAAAGAAGACGGAAACCATGATAAAGAACTTTTCTGAAACTAGAGATAAGGAAGAGTTGAATTTTATAAAACGAGTCGACGAGTTGTCAACCCAGAACGAGCGTATGATTGCGCGCTTTGAGGAAGAAAAAGAAGAGTACGGATCTCAARTGCGAGAAGAAGTCAAAAAAGAGATGCAAAAAGAAATACAGTTCTTGGCTGATCAAGTGACGGATCTCACGAAAGACTCAATCTTACTTATCGAGAAGGCAGCCGATGAGAAGGAATTAAGTGAAAAGAGCATTCGCGAGCAACTAGCAAAAGAAAGAGATGAAATGTTGGCGGAAGCCGTTAAAGAAAAGGAAGCGTACGCMGAAACTATCCGCGACGAGACAATAAAAGAAAAGGATGAAGAAATAAAWAAAATGAAAGAAGAGTTAGAAAATATTGTAAGTGAAAGAGATTCGTTGCTGGAACAAGTGGAAAAAAATAAAGTTAATGAAAAATTGTCCGGTGAAAGACAGGATGAACTAGAGAAGTGCAATCTTCGATTGGAAGARCTGGAAGCCACCAAAGACTCATTACTGAAAGCAGTAGATGAGYTCGAAGGAAAACTAGGGTCCGCAGACGAGAAATACACAATGAGTGTCAAAGAGCTCAGCGCTTCAAAATCTGCACTAGAATCTTCAAAGAATGAGGTAATCAAGCTGAAGAAAAATAAACGGGATTTGAACGCAAAAATCGATGAGTATAAACAAGTCTGCGAGGAAATGTCCAACGAAGTCAGGAAAATTAAAGGGCATTTTAAATACGCTGTACTCATAGAATACGAGGAAAAGATACTCGATCTAGAGGATGAGATACGAACTCTTCAWGGGGTCGTTGAAGAATCGAAGATATCGAATTCGGAGAACGAAGATATAATTTCGAACCAATCTTTGCTGTTGGAGCAATACAAGGCCCAGCAACATGCACACGACGCCGAAATAAAAAAGAATAAAATTGAACTCAATTCTGCGATTTCAGAGGTAGAGTCYAAGGATTCAAGACTAGCGGAGTTGAAGAGCGTAATCTTAAAAAAGGAAGCTGAAGGGAGTAAAATGCTTCAAGTTGTCAAAGACCTTCGAAAGTCACTTAATGCGCAAGAAAACGAAATGATTATCATGCAAAATGAAAAAGAAAGATTAAAACAACTGGATATGTCAATMCGGCTATATAGAGAAAAGTTGACCTCGGTGAATAGAGAACTCGCTCTACACAAGTCACGYCTCGAACATTGCCGGTGCAGTGGAAGCTCTGAAAACCGGAGTGGCAGTTTCAAGAAGTTTGAGCACGATCATTACGAATCAGTAGAAAGCCCTGAACAYTTGCGAGAAAGAATAGCAAGATTGAGCACGATGCTCAAGATGGCAGAAAAGAATCAGCACAAAGAAAAGATAAATTTTGAAGCATCAAAGGAGCAGTATAGTAAAGATATACTAGCTTGCAAAAATGAAAYTGAAGAACTGCGATCAGAGGTGTCGAGGTTGAAAAATCTTCTGGATCAAGCTCAGAATGACTTGAGAGCAGTATTGGAAAAAGGACCAGGGGGAATGCAGCTTGYAGACGAAATGCATAGAATTCAAAATGATAGCATTGCCTCAAGTGAAGTATTGACGAGGAAGCTTGCCACGGCAAAGGATGACTATAACCGTACGGTGAAACAAATGGAAGAACGAATCCAAGSTTTGTCCGCTGAAAGAGATACTGTTCTTCTCAAATTAGAGACAGCAGAGAAGACAGCTTACGATACAACCAACACCCATAYGCAACAAAAGTCTGAATACGTGAATAGAATTCAAGAACTTGAAGATGAGTTGAAAACTTGCAATGAGGACAAAACAAAAGTTGCAATGGAGTTAAAAAAATCTAAGTCATTGTTTAAGGAAGCAATCATTTCTTGGCGAGTCGAAGCCAGAGACCTAAAGGGGGAACTCGACCAACTGAAAGAATCGAAAGATCATGACGTCTCMAAMTTTAAGGACTCRATGCCCAACGATGTTGGGGCTGACGCCCGTTCTGAACTCAAAGGCGAAAACTTCATCCTTCCGCGCCACACTCAATCTCTTCGTGACGAGTCAGAACAACSAGACGACAACTCAAATTCATCACAAATTATCGAARAAGATGGTGATAGCARGTCTCTTTCATTGGACGATGAGCACTCTCCAAATATTTATCCTCTTTTTAGTGTTAGCGAAGAAGGCGATTCAGAGATGGAAATGAGCCATCGCTCTTCCTCTGAAATTCACGACAACATTGAAGAGTCCAACTCCGACTTCCGAGACGACGAATCCGAGCAGTACAAAGGKGACGAAGAGAGGACACCRTCGCGTTCATTTACAAAAATGTTGGAAATTAGCGAGCACACCACTTCTATTGAGATGAGGTTCGATAATCTTGACAAACGATTTAAAAGCGACAATGAATCGAGTGCCCATAAAAGCTTAAAACTTTTCAAGGACGAATTCAGTAGGTACCTTGAGGGAATAAACTCTCCGGATACTATCGACAGGAGTACTGTAAAATCAGTAATCGGTGTATCGAGGAAATTTCCAGAGWGTAAGATTTCTCGTGCGCCACAACCCCATGATGATGGTGATCGAGACGAAGATCAAAATATGCGTGATCCATCGATGTCTCTATCCATGCGAAATAGTGCTTCGGATGCAGACAATCGTGACGACAGCGTTGGCACCAGAACAAGCAAAAGCGTCAGAGACATATCTAATGTACAATCGAGTGATTCATCGTTTTTACAGCAGGGCAAGATTGATATCGAAAGCCGTGACAGTACGAGTAGTGATCGGGRAATTAGCGATATACGCARACTTCTACAACACCAAATGATGGAGCTGCGAGAAATGAGTATTCAAGAGAGAAAGGTGGCACARATCAAATCTAGGGAAGTCGTTACACCGCACCAGCAAACGGAGCAGGAATATAACGCAAAGGAAATACCGAATAAATTAATTCCGAACRCCTATCAACAGCAGACCACGACCTTTCCGAGATCCTCCGAGGTGCATCCTGGGGTTGTTGGTGCCTCATCATCTCCGTTCGATGAAGTTCCTGAAAGAAGAGATACTTTGCCGTTCGATGAATATAGCTTCAAGGAATAATCTGTTGATGATGTCTATCTTCGATCAATTTTGATAGAATGCGTGGGAAGGGTGGGGGCTAGGGGGACTTCACTGTAGTAGAAGTTATCAGAGACGATATAACTATTCTCAGGGGGATAATAAAATTGAACCAAATYATAAAGATGCCTACGTCGACATTGTTCTCAATTCCAAGGGATTTTATGTTTTATTGTGATTCTATTGGCAGGAGGCAAGGTGTGCTAGTCTCATCTCATCTTGTTCGCAAAAGTTCTATTTCAAAAATCAATGAATCTTCACAAGCAAGCTATTCCTCTAATTGAGAAAAGGTTATTCTATTCGTTAGACGTCAAATCTTTTCGTGCACTAGATTCTTCTGCTGGTATGCGAACTCAAAKATCCTTGTCCTCCCAGTGGGGCGTGTAGGTGGAGCGGGATAGTCGTAAAAACTCCAAAAGGGCGCTTCCCTCCAGAAGCTCTACTTCGTAATCAATAGTCTTGTCCTCGACCTTGTTCCGAAAGCATTGTCGYAGGACAGAAGTAGCATGCGTGGAGGCATCCCGGAGGCGTTCTTCAACTACCCGACCAATATCATCGTAGCTCCCCGTCACGCCCCACACACTGAGTTTCTGCTCTTCTCTGTCTCGCCGTCGGTGGAGAAAATCGCTGCTGTCGAGGGTGGATCCCCACGGTGTAAGTCCGTGAGATAGATGATGCCAGGTTGCCGTGGGACCTTCGCTATTGGTGTCGTTGCCACTTGTGGCTTCCTTGACAGCTTTGGCCCGCAAGGTCACCGTGAGCGGCGAGAAGTAAATGGTCATAGAAAAGGCTGTWTCAAAGTCCAAGACCAGATGTATGGCGTTCGTGTCACCAGAATTGGCTAGCTTTAGATGTGCTCCCTTTCTCCGTATCGCAGCCAATAGTTGCGGCGGTGTTCTTCGGTTCGGGCGAAAGAGTATTCGGGTTTTGTAATAMGGTCGGAAGGAATTAGTTCGAGGTCTTTTGTTACTACTAGAACCTGTGCTCTCATCATCGACAACAATCGGTGCATTCGAGGGCAACTCAATAGTTTTCGACCAAGCATCTTGAAGGGATACTTTTGTTGTTCCTTCGYCAATAGTAYCCTTCTCTCTCAAGCTGCTGCTTAATCCAGGCTTGTTTCTTTTTTGCTGTTCRAGTTTCTTCACAGCCTCCAGCACAAACTCCATCCCATCGTCGATCACCTCAAATAYCTTTTCCAAAGATTCCCTTGGGGCGGATGTTAGKCGCTGGTCCCCCGGAAGKAGCCAGTAGTTCATCATGGCCGTGGAAGCGGCTCGCATTTTATCCAGGTGCCTCAAACTTGCCTCGAGCTGTCGGGAATCCTGTCGGGTCGGTGGAGGGACTCCGACAAGKGCTTTTTCTAGCGCCTTTTGRAGAACTATCAAAGGATCTTCGTCGTTCTCTCTGCTAGTAGAAACAGCCGCGGTTGTTCTATCACTGGTAGCATCCGATGCCTGTTGAAGTTTATCCTTTTGGGTGCTGATCATCCCCCTCAAAACATCTCGAAGCATGTTGCCAGCAGCTGCGTGCTTCGAAAATGTCACGTCCCTACTCAGGAGGGTCTCCTGCATGAATCGGTGCGGATCGGCGTGCTTGACTACGTAGGATCGAATGTTCTTGACYCGGGCTTGCAAGTGCTGTTCTATTCKCTGTAGCTGCGAAAAGGAGAGCGACTGACTCGATSGTTTGCRCCGCATATTTTCTTCCGTGTTGCCTCTTTTTTTAMGAATATCGGCCAGTTCTTCCTCCGAGAGAACTCCTAGGTCAACGGCCCAGTCTTCACAGGAATCCGTGTGCTCCTTGAGCTTATTGGCCTTTTCTGGACCCAACTTGAGCCTAAGGTCCTCCAGAGCAGCGTCCGMATTGTAGGCAATGTAGCGAAGTTCATTTCCATAGACCTGCTTGAGTTTGTTCTTAAGTTCCTCTTTTGCATCGGTATTGTCCGCTCCTTCTGCCTTGGCAGGCTCCGCYTTCGGCTTGAAATTTTTTCGTACCTTGTTCAGCCTCCTTTCAATCTTTTTGCGGTAATCGGGGAGGGATTTCGCTGCCTTGAAAATTGAGTCTTCAAAGCGCCACGCCAATTCCATCTTTGAGGTTGGRGTTATAGATTCTGATGTCTCCAGGTCTGCCAACACCTTGGCAATTGCAACAACCTCGTTGTTCCGGTAGGACTGGAGCACGGACTTTCGCCAGTCGTCGGCCGGAGCAGCATTAGGTTTTTCAGCCATGTTACTATCTATATYGCCGGCCGCTKTGTTGGTTATGTAGAGGARAGAGAGTCTTTACGTGCCTCGAATYGTTTCGATTGATTGCTCAGCTTGTAAACAGCAACAAGGCCAACAATAATACTTCAAGAAATAATGGTAAAACATCTGTGATTTTTGCCACAACAGTTTTGTTCCCACCATAGTTGTTTGTTTGGGGATAGACTGATGAAGACCTGAAGGCGACAACTCGGGGAAAAACGAGTGACTTGTTCGACTCGATCTTGGGTGCTGCGCTGAGGTACTGTAGTTAGAAAATACAGTACAATAAACTACAAGTTAGTACGAGTACCAGATACAACTTCTTGTTTTATAACGAAACGCATTAAGTAGTAAAAAAAATGAAAAACAACAGTCATGTACGTATGTACCTTTTGTACTGCAAGAGGTACGGTAACTAAGGTACGATTACTCGGACCACCACAATGTTCGTCATCCTCTGAATCACACCGTACGGTGTGGTAGTATTTCTACCTAGCCCTCGTACTTGAACCGTTGTAGTAGTTGTGAGGCAATACCACGTAGTAAATCACGAGTGAATAGTGAGTGACAGCAAACAGCACATCCACTCACTCTTTATTGTAAACACGTAGTTATACG